TGTTATATATAAACTCTCCTTGGCGCTAACCCACCTTGGACCGTCTAATTTATATCTGAAAAATGAACAGTTGTCGGCTGATACCGATCTCAGAGTACTTGTGTGTATATAAGAATGATTTTAAACTAAGTAATTTTGCGAGATTTTAATATCCACCTTACAATATTTATCCATATATTTATTCTAGTTCCAACGTGTCAATGCCTCTTCCTTCATATTTGATCGATCGCCTGGCATAATATTTAGCACGAGTAATATATTGATATTGCTCATGAAATTATGTCACCAATTCAAGATTCCCTAAATTTTGGACCCTTGAGGTATTCAAGGTCTTCATTGGAAACTTTATCCAAATCTTCAGTAAGATGTGCCAAGGAGGAGTATACATGTATACATGTAGTTGATAAAACATTTGTGAAAAAAATTCCCATGGTCCGAAAGTTGAAGACCAGAAGAAAGGTAAAAAAAAGTCTTGTATACTAAAGAGGAAGACTTGCATATCATTTTGATGAATTGTAGATTTTTAATTCTTAGAAAAAATAAAAAAGTATTTTTCTTAAACTTTTTTGTTTAAAATGAAAGCTGCTTGTGTCTCATCCTTGCAATGTGCAAGTTATGATCAGATACAGCTGTTGTAATACTTAACCGACTATATCTTACTCTCGGACTTCTCACCAGAATATTTGAGAAAAAATGCTAAAATCTATCCCTTTGTTAAAATTATATTTCCTCTTCATCAGTCAGTTGACAATGATAATTAGAACCTTTTAAAGGAATCGCACTTGGTATAAAACATATAATTTTATGCAAAATTTGTATAAAAACATGTACCATACACGAGACTCTGTTAATGCATGTATATTATAAGAAAGTACATGTATTTTTACTGAGTAAACCTGTAGGCGGGGACTCTTTCACATGTAAAGGATACATCAAGGATGTGGTTCTAATATTTAAAAACAACGCCTTTTGACTACATAAAATTTGGAGATAACGAACAGTATTCAAGCTCAAAGTCCATCAAAACAATGGTACAAATCGGGAGCAGAGCAAACACAGACCTCCAAAAACATCAGAGGTGGGATCAGGTGCCACCGAAGAGTGAGCATCTTTGCCGACCGGTCACAGTTCACACCCGCCGTGTTTTCTTTATCATAATCGGGAAATAACGGAAAAGTCGTCGACAATATAATGTGTAAACAATGGTCTAACAATTAGTGTGAAAAACGTTAGTCAGAATATGCATTACTCTCTCTTTCTCTCTCTCTATTACTCCTTAATATAAAATGGTAAATAAATTCTGAAATAAGAAATATAACAAAGATTAAACAGTGACGTATAACAAGTGTTTCACGTAACTGGATTAAACAAGAAAGACTCAGAGTCATATTATGCTCTCCTGTACGGCAAAAAGTGTGCCATAGTACAAAAGATAAAAGAAATTGTAATAAGTAAGGCTACAGTAATAAAGCAAACATTGACCATTATGTCCTTAAACTCTTTTTCTCTCTATGTGTGTGTGTGTGGGTGTGTTTGTGTGAATAATATTTAATCAGGTCTTGCTTAGACTAATTCTACGCAATCTTAATGTATTAAAGTACACGCCTTTACTTTAAATGTACTTCAAACATTCCAATTATCAAAAACAGGAAATGCATGTTTGTAGGATTGTGTTAAAAATAGTATAGGATAATAACATCCAGTGATTTAAATCAACTTCAGGAAAGCGTATTTCAGATTTAAAAGAACAGTTAATGGATTATATTATCAATTAAAGTTGGTCTCAGAAATTTTCTCAAGAGATGCAGCTTATTGTATTAATCTTGTCAGTTGACTCAATTCCAGTAATATGTCAGTTTGACGGTGATGTTATCTTTGTTACTTCTGGGTATTCCATTATAAATATTTATCAATATCATAGAGAACGAAGAGCAATTAAAGTGTATATATACACTATTAAATATTCATTGTTCTCTCTATATATCTGATTCTTCGGAATGTACGTCAATGTCCTTTTCTTGTCATCATTTTCTTGGAATTGAATTTGAACTCTATTCTGTATTATAGTTCCTGTTGGTCTTTTCTATCCATATAATCTGATATACCACATTTAATGAATTGATATCTTAAGATGTTAACCTATTTGTCAGACAAAGACGTGTTTAAATGACTTGGATTATTTCACGTCGATTTTCCCTTAGATATACAAGCACAGTCTTTCGACATAAGATATTCGTTATATACACACAAAAAATTCTCAGAATATTGCATTCTACATACAATTGAAGCTTAATTCTTACAATGGGTAGATAGATGCTAAATTATGATCACAAAAGACGAACAGTCATAGAGGCTTACGAACAAAATTCAAACAAATTTCAAAAATCAATGTTTTGTATTAAATATGCACTTTTGTGAGACAAGTGGAAATTCGTTTATTTCTTAAACTAATTAATTTACTTTTATTGACATATTTATTTATTAATTAGCTAATTAATCAATCTCAGTAGTTAATGCCGGTGCACCAGTCACCTAGTCTATATATCTTTCTTTACTAATATTTCTCATTATATGATTAAGTTACAAATATTGCCTCAGTCTGCTACTCTCTGATACATTTTTAAATTTCATTTTAATTATCTATTTACAATATTGTCTGCCTCTGTTTGAAAATTAATAATAGGACACAGAGAACACCACATTGGTTGTCATACTGTTCTTCCATACTATGGTCTGCTATCGTAGCCCCTTATTTCCGAAAAATGAAACTACTCAGTTTTAATTCCTCATCTGGCTATCCAGCTCATACTCACAGTTCCTTTAAAAGATGAAATTCTTCTTATTCACGTTTCAGCCTTAAATACTTTTAACATTCCCGCCAATGAAAGTGAGTTTAATTAATCGTACCTATACTCGATTCTAAAACTTCATAAAACTCCCTATAAACAAAGATATATTGCACAGTCAAGTAAATGTTCCCCTTTCCTTACTCCTCTTCAAAATATTAGCAGTTTTTGTATATCATAGACAACTGCTTCGTCAGCTGCAAATGTAACTCGTAAAGTTTCATTACTTGTAATTGGTCATCTACAAAATTACTTCTTTGAAAATCATTTTGATTCTACAGACAAGTTCTCAGACGTTGATACGAAAAAGGTACTGGAGTTCCTTATTGACATCATCTCTGTTGTCTGTGTAGACCAGGTCTTTCAACAAACTATTGGAATTTCGATGGGCACTACTTGTGCTCCTTTATTAGCCGATCTGGTTTTATATTCCTATGAGCAGAATTTATTCAAAAACTTCTACACGAGAAGAAAACTCTCGTTGTGGCCTTCAACTTGACATTTAGACATATCGACAGCGTTTATTAATTAACAATATTTGGGTTCATTCTCATATACCCGATATATCCCAGTGAACTAAGAACTACAGAGTCTGCAACATCTATTTCATATTTTGTTGTTTTAATGACTCATGACCGACAATGGCTAACTGTCAACTAAACTAACTATCAACTAAACTTTATGACAAAAGGAGTGACTTCAGCTTTTCCATCGTCAACTTTCCTTATTTATGTACTCATATTCCAGCATCACCTGCATATGGTGTTTGTCTCCCAAATGATACGCATTATGACCTTGTTCGCAAATACAACCTATCGTTGGGTTGTATTCTCTTTAACATGTTTCATGGTAATTCTTAGGTCATAGTTTTATTTTCTAAATTTCACTCCCGATTACTAAGTCTACCTGATCAATACATAGGGCTCAAGACTTCTGGTCCTGGTTCTTGAAGCAGATTTTTACATGCATAGATGCAACAAATATTCACTATTTCTTAATTATCTTCCCTTGAAATTGACATGGCTTTTCACTTGAATGAACTCTTATTCCCTTCACTAAAGCATACTTTGCTGCAAGTTTAGTTAAATTTTGGCCTTTTTGTTCTAGAAATATGTTGAAAATATGAGAAGTTTAGAGAGAACACATAGACATACAGACGGATGCTGGAAAATGATCGGAAAAGCTCGATCAATTGAGTTTTTGGCTCAGGAGAGCAAATTATCGAATGCACATTTTTAATGATTCTTTTTTGTATTTTTGCCTATTCAAAACAACTGAGGGTCATCATTCAATATACTATCCATCCAATGATGAAGTTTCACACAGTGTATGCAAAGTTAAATGAGTTTTTAAATATTACTGTTTTCCTCTCTATCAAACATTTTTTTTTAGGTTCGCAAATGTTCCTGCTTTAAGTCTGTTGTCCTTTATTGATATCATATGCGAAAAACCATATGGTGTTCCGATTATGCAAACAGGAGCGCAACCGTTCATTTGTTTCACCTAATGGTCGTTGTGTGACACTATCATGTAATGTAGTCAAGTAAAGTATTTCTATAGAGTCTTTTTACACATTGCATGTTAAGATACAAGCTGAAATGGAGGAAAATATATCTGAAGAAAATACTTCGACCATACTTTTAACTTCAATAGCAAAGTTTTAGAAAATGCTTTTACTGAAGAAACTAAAATGTTGAGTCAATTGTTTTGTATGAAGACTTGAATAAAACTTCATGTATATCAATCACAGACTGGAAACATGAAAAACGAGCAACATGATCGAAGCAAGCACATATTTCCTTAGCTGTCAACTTTTATTTTTTCTGCTAAGACCTCAACAAATTTTGTTCCACACCTGTGATAGTAATATTTACAATATAACGACAGACTGTACAAGTAACAGTGAATCGTTAAGAATAAAAAAGAATATCTTTAAAAGCCAGCTGAAAAAAGAAGATTGTTAAATCAATTTGTAATGCTTTAATATTGTTAGTTGAATGAATTATTATGCTATATGTCTTCCGTTGGTATACAAAAATGAAACCTTAGGGGAATATCACAGAATAACAAAGTTAAAAAAAAGATATTCAATATTAAAGTACAATTGAATAAATAAGACTCTCAAAATTCTTTTTTAAAAGAAAAAAAACTTACTTTAATTAACGCTACTACTTCTGCGACTGCATGGTTTATTTGTCCTGCATACTATATACGTTAAATTTTTTTTATTGTTATATTTTTCTGCATCGACGTAATGTTCATCTCATTATTCACTTTAATGAACTAGGTCACAGAATTTTTTTTTATTTCCATAATAATCAAATATGTATGCATTCAACGTCAATGATAATATTTAGATATGGCACTACGGTGACTGAAACTAAGTTTTTTTCCATTTATAATGTAAAAGAGACAGTTCTGCACTAAGTTATAAATGTACATTTGTTTAAAGCAAGACGCAATTTATGCACAATTTTCAGATAAAGTAATTGTATGTTTAAAATAATTCCCTTGCAATACGATGGTCTTTTAACTGTTCAAAAAATATTTAAGAGTATATGAAATGATATCATTGAAGGATTACAGGATGATACACATAATCTCCTTCAACAAATTTTTAGCTGAATTTAAAAATAAAAGTTAAAAATGTACAAGCTAGCTGGAAAAAAGTCATGAAAACCAAGTGCTATAATTAGTAATGAGAGCTGTTTGCAACCTAAATTAGGGATAACATTTTCAAACATTATTTACATATGAAGAATATTTTGAGAATTTCTAAAATAATCTTAAATTATCATATTATATCATACAGTTTCTAATAGGACACTGTAGTAGATGTCAATTCAATTCTTTATTGCAAAAGACATACATCTTATTAATACTATATGCTATAATAGCATATTTACAAAAATGTTATTTAACGATGTAAAGCACTTTCATTTGGAACGTCAGAATGAGATATAAAAAAGTTCACGATGAAAAACAAGTGCTGACTGGTAATTATATTATACTGTAATAATATTGCGTGTATCATGTAAGGATTAACATTAATTCACAAATTAATAAAAAATCTTTCACAAAAAGTTCTTTTCTTTTACACGATAGGCTTTTTAGTCCAAAATAAAAGGATTTCATGTTTTTAAATTACAACCACTTTCGTCATACATATCAGTTGGTAAGAGTTAGAAAAAAGATAATATCATGCACAACTTAATATTCCTTTGACGAGTATCTTATATTTGCAGTTGAATTCTATAGCAATAAAAGGGATTTAAAGTAATGAAGTACAGTTTTGTTATAAATGAAGATAGCAGTTGTGGAAGGTACGGGTTTTGGAAATATCTTTCTGTTCTTTTCCTAAAATGTAATACATTTAAATAATGAAAGAATAAGATGAATAATTTACACCTCACATTGTACAATTTCTTGAATGTACGATTACACTACAAGATTGATAAATCTGTATATTAAAAAATCTATTTATAAAAGATAAATCTTACTTTTATTTTTTTCTATTCCTGTCATATATCAATAAGAAATTAGAAGTAACATATAAAAATGGTCATATTGTTAATAACATTAATAAGAAGTGAATTAAACAATGTTTAAACAACATAATCCTTTGTTTGCCCAAGCTTTTAAAAAAAAATTCCCACATGAAATTTTACCTTTTATTAACCGATTCTTAAAAAAGGGAAAAGGAGGAATAAACCTTTCGTGTTACTAACATCTCGAAAAATTCTTCTTGAGTTGTTGCCCTTACCCTTATAATAGCTATTTACAGTTATGAACGACTTATATATTTTGCTAATCAAAATATTATAGTGCCATAATTTCAAAAATTTTCTATGTCAATGCTCTTATGAACTGGTTTTACTTTAAAAATATCACCATTTGTATTGATTTTGCATGATTAAAGTATTAAAGACAATTAATCTTGGTTAATTTTAGCCAGCAATCGATGGTTTTCAGTTATTTAGTGTGATAATCACTTGGTACTTGATACATATGCCAAAGACTTCCAAACTTTTCTATATAAACATACCATAAATGGTCACCGAAAAATAATTTTAAAAACCCAACAAAACAAGGTTCTCCATGGGCCTTGTAACGTGGCTGCCCCGCCACAGTCAAATTTCTTAGCGTCATAGTTAAAAATCAGCGCTATTATTCCGCCATAGTAAAAATTAGCGCCACGCAAGATCGTTTTCGTCTGTGAAGTTTGGGAAATTAGCCAGGTAGGATAGCTACTCGCTTTTTCTACTGTAATGCTAAATTGGCAAAGAGAAACAATTCCGATGAAAGTTTCATGTTGTTTATTGTAGAAAGAAAGCAGAAAGAAAGTGAATTTATAGAAGTTGTTTCGCAAAAAAATCATAATAATTATCGAAACATACAATGTCAACGACTTTTGAAACAACCTGTAATGAAACCCACAATGTGAATGTATGATTACTAAAACAACAAATAAAGATCGAACGTTTACGTGAAATCGGTCATGCATAGCGCTTACCAAAGTTTTTACAGTTACAAAAGCTAAAAAATCAAAAATAGATAATAAAATCAGAACACTTGCAAACATTTAACTCCAAAGACAATGTTAACATTTCGAAAAAATTAAGATACCTTCTCTGACTATAGAGTCCAGAACAGGGAACATAATTCATAAACGGTAAAATTAAACTGACAAAAATTAATAAAAATAGAAAAATACCAAAAACACTATTTCATGCTCAATTCAACAAAGAAATGATTGCTAGTTGTACTGAAACAGAAAAAATACTTTAGAGAAAATCATTAAAATAACTGCAATGAAGAATAGACTGGAATAAAATATTTGAACTTCCTTTTAAAGTAACAAAAGAAGCAAAATTTCAGTGGATGCAATTTCAAATTCTGCATAGGATTATAGCAACAAATAAATACCTTTACAATCTCAAACTAATTGATTCACCTGTATGTTCCTTTTGTAAACAAGATGTCGAAACGATTGAACACTTATTTTTTGAGTGTTTCTGCGTTAAAAAAATATGGTGTCACATTGAGGAATGGTTTATAAATAAGTTTCATTTTACCATTAATTTTGATAGAAAGGATATACTTTTTGGCAAATTCAGCAACAAAAACATGTTTAGACTACACAATATATTAATACTTACTGTTAAGCAATTTATCTTTGCTAGTAGGTTTAAAAATGTGCCTAAACTAAGCATCTCAATGCTAGAAAAAAATATTGTGGATAGAATATTAGTCGAAAAAGTTATACTTTTAAGAAACTGTGAATATTCATTAAAATGTACAATATGTCATATACAATTTTAATGTGATTTTGAAATGCAACATATATTTACTACAAAGAAATTATATTTAATATGAAGTATCAGGCAGTAGAAATGAAAGTATGTATTGAATGTTAACTAATATATTGTATAGTCTGTATATGTGAAAGCACAAATAAAATCTATGAATTAAAAAAAAAGAATGAAATTAAATTTAACCTGTAACTTTCAAATAAAAGAAAAATAACACAAGCTTACCTAAATTGGCAAAGAGAAACAATTCTGATTAAAGTTGAATGTTGTTTATTGTAGAGTAAGCAGATAGAAAGTGAATTTGCTAAATTCACAATCTATCCGGACTCTACTTTGAAATTGAACTCTTGACCAATCATGATGCTTGTTACAAAAATTATTACAGGTAAGTCGGCAATTTCTCTTGTTAGCTTGACACTGATTACAAATGTACTTGCATTATCAAAGAGCCGAAAGGCGATGAAGTCAATTAGCTAAATTTCCGTTTTGAGTTTTTAACAGTAGGAAAACGAAGTGAAGCCGAAACAAAATAAACAAGATTCCAAATCGTAAAAATAATTTAATAACTGTGTCATAGCAATGTGTCAAGCCAATCTGGCATTGTTATAGTTAGTTTTAAATTCTCTGCATTCTAAAACTTTAATGTAATACTTTTCTTATGTTAAAGAGTTAATTTAATATAAATATAGGGCCCATTGTATGGTTTTCACAGTCAATTATTAATTATCTTCTAGGCCTCACTGGACTTTAAGACTAGACTGAAGCTAGCAGCCAATAACAGCAGCCATTTCCTTATTGGCTGCTAGCTTCTACGGGCTTAATGGCTGCTGTTATTGGCTGCTAGCTTCAGTCTAGTGACTTTAAGCATGAATAAAAAGAGACAACTGAAGCCATTTTTCACAGTTCCAAGTAATTGCAAAATTTTAATGATTTTTTAAAATACCAATTAATCACTTACTATTTCAATATAGATAACAGCGTCTCTAAAATTGCATTGGAACTATGAGTCAAATATCGTATCATGGTAATAATGTATTAATGTAACGTTAAAAATTAACGATAGATCCATCAGGATAGTATTTTATGAGTCTAAACTGCTAAAGTTATTTTTAATTCATAAGTTTCAAGAGATACATCACCCAACTGAGACCTTTATTTGCAAATATATTAATGAACTAACTCTATAGCTTGATTGTGTGAAGTACCAGAATTTCCTCTGCCCTGGTATGGACACTGCAGGTGTATAATTCACATTTTGTAAACAAAATGACTGGTACTTTTATTTTCAGATTTTGTGAGCTTATATTTGTTTATTTATAAGTACGTAAGTAGGTGGGGGTGGGGGGGACTTTTTTCTCATATATACTAGAATCATTCTAATTTTTGTTTTACACTATTTTTAATCGATAACCATTAATCGATTTTATCATTTAAATTTTTTCTTCAATTCGCAAAATAATTAATACCATTTTTGTGTATTAAACTAGTGATTAAGAAGAACTGTGTGTTTTTTTTAACATATTTGATGATTAAACATATTTCGCGAATTTGAAAATGACTGTAAATATTAGCGCTTCGCGCCACAGTTAAATGTTAAATTTGAAATAATAGAGAACCCTGAAAAATACAAGGCAACAGAGGGATTTTGTGATTAAAGGTTTATGAATTATAGTAATATAAACAGTTAATGACAAACCTGCTTATCTTTGTTTATAACAACTCAAATCGTACATTTTGACAAGTGGAAAAAGGTGGCAACTGATTGTGACTTCGAAATGAACGCGTTTTTACAATAAAATGACGTTTTTTTATAATTTATTTTCCATCAAAGTTTGCAATTTTAATTATTTGTAGAATAATC